CATTGAGGTCCAATTTTGTATTATTTTTTTTTTGGACACTTGGCATTCGTGTGAACTGAAACTGGATTTCTGAGTGTAGGGAGAGTGGGTGCTGCCTTTCTTTTGACAGCAAAGGATCCAGAATCCCCCAGCAGTAATCTCAAGATGAAATAGCGTGGTTTTGTTAAGCAGGCAGTTACAGCTCAGAATGGAAATTTGTGGTTTTATAGGTCGCTTATTTGCTGCTAAAAGAAATGCTCCTGAGAAAACGAGTTGCAGAACAAAAAGAGGAAAGTTGTTTGTCCCTTGTGAAGAACTGATAGTGAGAAAAGAGACGTACTGTGCTTGTTGGACCTGTTTTGTTTCTGTATTTCCAGCAGCAGTGCATTTCTGAGAGGCATTCCTTGTGTAGGGGAGAAATGTGTGTGTGCAGATGCAATTCTGTTTCAAAGCGGTGAAGAAATAAATATCTTGTGTTGACACAGATGCTTTGAACCTCTGTGGCACCACCAGTTAAAGACCTCAGATGACTTGTACAACAACAAAGCTTTGCAAAATCCTCCGTGAGAGGCGGAAGTTATGTTATCTGTATTCTGCATACAGAGAAACAGGTGAAACAACTTATTAAAGACCACAGCACCGATGCCAGTAAGAGTTAGGATGTGGGCACCTGATGCCAGGTCCTGTGCTTGAAAGCAGTAAGTCTTGGGGTTTTGAAGCAGCATGTGTAATTTTGGGGTGATTTCTTTGGTGGTGTTGATTTGCTTTTGTGTTATGTTGTGTTGTTTTTTTCCCCAAACTATTTTCATGCATCTCTGCAGTCAGAAACCCAAACCGTGTCCCCAGCGTCTCACAGAACTGGGTCAGCAGCATCTCCCCCAGTCTAGCATTTGACTAATACCTTCCCTTGTGTTCTCTGGGATGTTGTGCTTCTTGCACCACCACCAATTACGTGAACTCACTTTTTCCTCCATGCAGTGCCTCAGCACGCGCTGAAGTTGTTTCTTCATTAGAATTTCAAAGTCACAACCAAGGAGGTATCAAGCACGGCCTCCTGGTTCACTTTATAGCCTCCTAAGGAGAGTGCCTCCAGGTGTTTTTCTCCTTCAGAAGTCCTGGACTTTTGGTGATGGTCAAGATAGGAAGCTTAGCTGCTTGTTGCAACTAAACTCAGGTTTAGGTCAGTTATTTCCTCTGCATATAATAAGTGTGTGTTGTTCTCAAATCCGTGATGCCCTCCATTGAAATGCGCAGTCACGCAAACCAAACATTGCTTTCACCTGGGTGAGGATGCCAGCACATTCCTGCTGAGGGCTGCAGTGGTGAGCTGGGTATGTTGCCATTCCCTCCCTCTGTCACTCAGGCAGACCCAGGTTTAACACTGCTTGAACAAACAGGCTGCTCAAATCCTCGAATCCTATCCCTAATAATTCACCATCGGCTTCTGTACGGCTCATGGGAAGGCCTTACTTCATGGGTTGTTTGTCTGATGTCCATCAAATGAAGAGAAAAACGTGCAGAGGCTTTGTTGTGGTTTTCTGCTCCAAAATAGCTCTCTTGTGTCAATAACAACAAGCAAACTATGGCCTTGTTTTTGAAAGAAAAACAATTCATATTAAAACCGCCGTGTGGTCAGCTGACCCAAAGCCCAGGCAATGAAAGAACTGCTGTGTTTTTCTCGAAAGAGAAATCCCTGTGCTGGAGGGTTCCTTAAGAGAAGGTGAGGACTGGGGGGGAAAAAAGCAGCAGCTGTTTCAGGATTGGTTTAGGATGCACGGGTCAGGACGTGAGGTTCATGATGCGAGGAGCTGGGTGTTCAGCAAACCCTTCAGCTCTGTAAGTGGGGTTCCCCAGCCTGTACCTGGGAAAGGATGGCAAATGTGCTCGTGATCCCTTGTTTTGTTCTCTGCCTTGTGCCTGGCTGAGGACGTGCCATTTTGGTGGGATTTGAGCTGTGGGAATGTGGAACCTGAGATGTGTGATAATGACCTTGAGAGAGGTGGTGGTGGTGGTTTTAGCCCTCATTTTAAGAAGGTGTGCTGGTGAATTTCTCCTCTTGGTTTTATTCAACGCAGTGTTTTGCTGGTTTCTGTTCTTTCCGGAGAGCAGCGTGAGGGGTGACCAGCCCATGGTCCTTGCAGTAAATCTGTTTCCTAACCTCTGCTCTTCCTTGGGGAAATCTCCCGTGTGCTCTCCTTTCCAATCATCATCTCCCTGAACTCCCATCCATCAGGGTTCCAGTGCACATCACCTCCCAACCTGCCTGAATTACCCTCTACCAAACCATTAGCTTCAGTAACCATTTCATCCACTTTTCTTCTCCTCTCTTGAGGGGGCGTAAAAATTACAAGTAAATTTACATTATCCTAATAGAACAAGTCCTTTGGTAAGGACGCTAGAGATCTAATCTGATTTTTTTCCACTATCTTCCTATGTAACTTTTGGGCAATTCACTTCTGCCTCTCAGTTTTTTTCACATCAAGGACAAAGGAGGAAAAGCCTGGGTGTGCAGAGGTTATGGTACCTACAGCCTGGTTAAGCAGTACAAACGAGTGTATGTATTCTGAACGCATTAATAATGAAAAGCAGACGTTGTTAGCAGTGCTGTATTGCCTTCAAATGGCAATTTGTCAGAGCTGGTGCTGCTATGCTTCCAGTGCTAGCTGGGAACCTGCTTTCCAGGGATGGATGTTTGCTCTATAATGCTGATGAGCAGGCTGTGCACGTTACCTCCAATGTCGTACCACAGCAGGGATTGCTGTATGAATCATCCAGAGCTTGACGTTAAAATGGTGGATTCACATCTGAATTTCACCAAGGAAGTTGAGTGTTGGATCTGCAGTTGGTTTGGATTAGTCAGTGCTTTCCTGAGAGCACTGGCACTGATTTTCAAAGCGAGGAGGGTCTGTTCTTCCTCTTTTGGCTCTGCTTGAGCCAACATCTGTAAGATACAGAGGTGTTTATGAAGTTCATTATAATTAGCAAAGCCTTCAGCTCTCCTCCCTTCCACTCAGCGTGCACACTGCTAGCTTCAAGAAAGCCCAGGGCCTGACACACACGGGTTCCAAGAAACCCCCACAAAGGACGAGAAGCCAGCACTGAGCTGTCACTGGGCTTTGTGTGAGAAGCAAAAAGAAATGGTGGTCCTCAGTGCGTGCTCTTGGTGTGACCTTCTCTCTGCTCTTATTGGTGAGGCTGCTGCTCGCCTCCTGCAGCCGGCAGGGATCACTGCCGTGTGCTTCTTGTGGCTGTGATCTTATTTTGTATCCTGTGGCCAAGAAAACTTCTTTTGACTTTTAAATAAGAGCAAGTTACCTGCCATATTTGCAGACCAACTGCATAGCTGATGCAAAAACGCGGTTGCCCGCCTGTTTGGTAGTGTTAACCACATGGAGCAAATAGTTTCAACTCTCCTAAAACTGCTCTGGCTTCCTGTTTGCTTTGTGGTGCAATTAAATGTGGCTTTTTTTTCTTTCTTTCTCATTTATTTATTTTGAGTAAGTGGAGGGTAGGAGGCTAGAAATCCTAGCCTTACCGCTTCTCTGCCTGCAGAAGCAGTGAATACCTACGTGCTGTTAGTTGCCAACATCCAGGTGGTTCAGGAGCTGCAGGCTGGCACAGTGCTTTTCCCTCCACGTGCCCGCAGGCAGTGCTGTAAACACAAGGTGCCACGGTGATGTTATTTGCTTGTTGTCATCCTCCTCCCTCTGTTGCCTTCCCCTCTAGAAGCCAGCCAGCTGCTCCATCCCGGCTACAGCCAGCAGCAACGTTCTTGTGCACCAAAGAGCCGGATTAGGAAGGGAGATGTTTAGGAGCCTTACACTTGTTGTTTCCAGCCGTGTCCACTGTGCAAAGGGATGCTGGGCAGACCGTGCAAGTATGGTGCAGCTGGAGCAAAGACAGAAACAACCTGCAAAGTGATGTGCGGATAAATGCCAAGAGGAGCAGCTATGAAAGACTGGTAATTAAGGGCATGGAGATGATGTGCTGGTTTAACACTGTGTGCCTCGTGTTGGACGCACTGGCAATGCCACACATACCTCTGACTGCTTTTTTTTCCTTCAAACCCCATAGCTCTTTTCTCTCTATAACCCAGAGGGAAAGCAGGAACCCGCCTTCCCTTCCTGGACATCTCTCATCCTTACCCTGGTGCATTGCAACTGCTTTCTGACTTTCGGTTCCCTTTCCCCCTCCCTGCAGCGCGGTGTCCAATGCCTTGCAGGCAGATGTCCTGCAGTGCTGTGCCGCGTGTGGGCCTGGGAGCTGCTGTGCAGAAAAGCTGTTGAAAGAGGAGGGGAAAAAAAAAAAAAAGAGCGGAACAGAAACCAGAATTCCAGTAAACAGTCTGTTAAAAATATCCGCAGCACATGTCAGGGGTAACAATTTAAAATAGGCAGTTTCTGAGCTTTGAAAGGTCACGTTAAGACGTGGGGGATTCAAACAGAGCTGAGAACGAACGTTTTGACAGTCACAGTTTGTACCGATGCTCAGTGATCCCGCGTTGCCAACTAGTAATGTTCAGGGAACCAAATGAGTCAGATCGTGAGAATAATGAGCTTTCCTTGGCTTATAGCATGGAAAAAACCTGAGTTTCTACCTAAATGGTGTGCCATGCGAGCCTTAGGAAAAACGGTCATTGTGGGGCTTGTAAAAATGCTTGTTTCCACGCGTCAGGCTGAGGCGATCCGAGCGCAGCTCCGCGCTCACAGCGCTGCCCCGCAGCACGAGCTGACATCTCTCGAACCAGCAGATGCCCCTTCGGCACCGAACCGCTGCTGAAAGCGTAAAGGAGGCGCAGAGCGGAGCGCTGGGACACGGCTGAGGCCTTGAGGCTGCAGCGTCCCGACGCGCTTCAACCCTCCGGCCTGCAGCCCCGCCGCGCCGTGCTGGAGGTGGCAGCGACTCCGGGCATCGCGTCTCCGTCGCGCCTTTTGTGCACGCGAGCTGCGCGCGCCGTTCGCAGCCGATGCCCCACGGGGCGGCGCTTTGCAGACGGTGCCCGAGCGGGGCGGGGCGGGGCCGGCAGCGGGGCGGGGCCGGGAGCCCGGCGGGCGCGGGAGTGCGGAGCAGGTGAGCGGGGTGGGGGGTGAAGGGGAGGGGGGTCACCTCAGCTTCCCCTCAGCCGCCTCAGCGCGGGGTGTTTGGCCCCGCGGGGAATAAAGCCCCGCGTGCTCCTCGGCATCCCGTAGCAGATCCCGAGGAAAACCGGTTCTGTTTTATAGGGATGCGGTATTTCCGGGCTGCGGGTTCGGGATGTGCGGGGTGAGCTCTCGCAGCCGGCACCTCAGGGTACGCGGGTGGCGGTGGTGCTGAGCCCGGCCTCGTCCTGCAGCCCTGCGGGTTCGGTCCGTCGGTGCCCGCCGTGCCATACCGTGCCCTGCAGCGGCTCTCGGCTCCCTTGGCACCTCTGTGCCGTTCGAACCTCGGATAGGAGCCCAGAAACGTGGGGTTGGGTGTGTGGTGCTCAAGGGTCAGTAGCAACGTACGGCTTGTTTGTGTCTGCGGGATGCATCTGGGTGTCTGGTGTTGTCAGCTGCAAAAAGGCTAATTTCAGCGAGCTGCTCTCGTTATCACAACTTCCTCCATCTCCCGGACTGTGCCGGTGCTGGCGGCAGCAGCAGCAGCCCTGCAGCACAGCCCGCCGCTCGGCAGCATCCTTTGCATGGTCCGCCTGCGCACGTGAGGGAACCGAAACGCAGAGGAGTCGGTTGTTCAAAGTCACGCATCAAACGACTGCCGGGCTTGGGAATGGAACTTTACAAGCTGTCGGGTTTTGAGCTCTTTGCTTTAACCGCTAAATGTGCCGTTTTCCACTAGATGCTTCCTCAGACAACAACTGAAAACATAGCTGGTTGACTCTGACTTGCCTAAAAGGTTGTGCTTAAAGTTTCCAGCAGGGCACCGTTCTGGAACCCTCCCCTCAGGTGCTTTCCGTACTCCCTGCCGTTCCTCTGCCTCTCTCTAGCAGTGCTGGTTTCCTCCCAGGCGAGGTATGGCTTTACATTTCTGTTTCTCTTGAGCTGCTCTACCAGCGCTGCTCTCTGCCCCCCCTCTGGCTGTTCCTTGCGGTTGGGTTGGAGGTCCTGCTGAGCCTGAGTGATGTATATTGCTCTGATGCTCTTTGCTGAGTTGCTCTGCAGCTGGGGGAACTGCAGCCTGTTGTTATCACCGTGTGTGCATTCTGCTTTCCTATCTCTCTCCTTGCTGACAACCCCTTTCATCATCGGTCCCGCACACAAACGAGGTTAGCTTCAGTTTGGATTGCATTAGTGTAATTCTGCTTCCTATTGCTTTTCTTTGTGAGCCCGTTTGATGGGCGTGTGTTGTGTATGTGTAAGGCAGGCACTGAGCACAGTAAATGCTCAGAATGTGGGTGTGTTTATTTCAGGAAGGGAAGGGCACAAGCCAAGAGATTCTTTGGATCTAGCGGTTGTTCAAGACCTGCTCCCTGTGTGTTTCGTGTAGATAGGGTAGCTGTGCACTGTGGAAAGGTCATTGTTCTCTGCTGACATCTCTGTGTGCTGAAGGTGCTGACTGTGCTCTGTAAATGGTGGTTTGTTTGGTCTCTGGTAGGAAGGGGATGCTCTGCAGTGTTTCAGAGGCCTGAAACATTGGGGTGTGTGATTTCATCCCTTGCCTGGTTGTCCTGAATAGATTCCATTATAGATCTGATTCAGCCTAATGTTTGTGTGAGCAAAGTAATGAGTAGATGTGATTAATCAGGGGCTTAGAAATCTCTAATAAAAGGCATCGTAGGAACAGCACAACTGTGGCACTGGAGGAACAGCAAAGGACCACTGAGAGATCATGAATCAGTGCGTGGAACTGTGTGGCAGGATCGATCTGTAAAGCAAAAACTGATAACATGACAAATCTTTATTTGATATTTATGTTTGGCAGAGGTGGAAGTTTTGTTATGGTAAACCAAATAGAGGTTATGATCGTCTACATTATGGTTTGAGGAATTGAACCCTGAGCATAGAAAAGCTTTAGCTTCAGGTGGTGGTAAGTACTTGCATGCTTCTCTCCACTTTCTCAAGGGCTCCTGGCTTTTTTCCTGCTGAGTTTGTGGTCCAAGTGTTAGCTTGTGTGTATGTGTTGGAAGAAGCAGGGGCACAGCTGTGTTGCAACTCAAATCTGTGTTGAAGGTGCAGCACAGTCCCAGGAACTGAAAGAGGGCAGAGATGGCTCAGCTGGGATGCTGATGTGTATTTCAGAGCGTACTAAATGGAAATTGTAAAGGAAACACTTTTTTGATGTGTGAGGGCACAGGAGTTCTTGTGTCAAATCTGTTCTGTGAATACTTTCTCCGGAATGGATGATGATTGCAATTAAGGCAGCAAAGCTGTTCTTATGGTGAAAAGGGCTGCAGCCAGTTGGAGGTGGCTGGGAGTCCTCTGTCCTGCTGGCTCTGCTCTGAGCTGCTGCCTTGAATGGGGCAGCACAGCAGGTTCTTACACCTCTGCAAACAAGCAGGTGTTTCTAGCACCTTTTACCACACGTGTGTTTGTTCTCAGGTGGATAAACAGGTTGTCACTACTTATCAGCAAGCAGGGCTGCTAAGGCCAGTCCCACCACGAGCATCTATTGGTTGCATCCACATCCTGGGAATTATTACATTAGGCCATAAGGTTAAGCAGATTCAGGACGTTTTTTCTGTCTCATTAATCTGGGTGACTGCCACTTGGGTGCAGGGATCCAGCTGGCTCTGCCAGGGCAGCCCCCCCAGTGCTCCTTCCTCCCATCACGGTGTGACTTGCTTGCACACCTGGGGGCCATGCTGCCACGCTCTGAGAATTTTCCCAGTCTGTTCTTTAAGGGAAACTTGTGGCTTGCTTTTGTAAGAGTCCATCAGTGCTCAAATAACTTGCCTTTCCCCACAGTGTGTGGTATTTTACCCCGTGACCGCCACCAAAAAACCAAGCCTGAGCTCAGATACCTTCAGAAGGTTCATTGACTGCATCTGTGAGCACACAGGGTTGATTCACCTCTGCTACACGTGTTGACTGTGTGCTAAAAACCTGCCGAGCACGTGTGTGTGTAGAATTTCCCATGGTCTCCTCCCCCTGCACTTGATGCCTGCAATGAAAGCAGTTTCCTGCTGTCTCCCACACTGCACCCATCACCTGTAAGCTCCGTACCACTCACTTCTTATAAGCTTGAAAGGTGTTTTTTGTAGTTCCAGGGTTTAGTAATTCTGTCATCTGCTTGTAGGCGTTCGAGCTTCCGTGTCTGTGCAAGGCAGCAGCCTCACAGGGGTTTGTGGAACACTGCTCCCTTTGTGATCTGATGGCCTGTTGCTTTTTTTTCCCCCCCTTCTTTCAATAGCAGTTCTACGTTGTAAACACCAGAGTTGTACTTAATACATTTTTAATAGGAGATGTGTTAGAGTGTTTGATGGTAGCTGCTGGCTTGTTAAATACCGACCAGGTAATTTCACATGTGTCTGTTACACTCTGCAGAGATTTGATTTTCATTGCAACTCTGCATTCCTTTGGAATATCCACCTCGTCTTCTGTTGGCAAAATCTCCATACACCCCAAGATATGTGTGATCCTTTGGAAAGACAAGGTCCTGAGGGATTGGAACTTGGCCTCGGAATGCCACAGCCTTAGGCACGGTGCTTCATGTCTGATGGGATGTTGCATCAGGCAGAAATCCTCAGCAGGACGAAGCAGCTTTGGCTGTTATTGTGCTTTGTGTCTCTGGTTGTCAGCAGGGTGATGGCAGTTTGCTGCTTTTGTTGCTATTGGGCTGAGGCAGCAGATATTGTACAAATGTGCTGGTTTTATTGTTAATGAGCAGAGGACTAGGCAAAAGCTTGTTTTGCTTTATTCAAACTTGTAGACCTTGCCTCCTCCCCCTTTTACTTCCCTCCCTTTTAAGGCACATGGGTGGTTTTGTGGTCTTTGTATCCGGTCTGTGTGTGATACAGCATGTGTGCTGAGGAAGCAGGACAGATAAAACATAGCTCTTATTTCTGGGAATCCTTACCTCACTGCTGGTGGGGAAGTGTTGTGCTCCCCGGCGCTGCAGATAAGATGCTGGGCTCCTTGTCGTGCTGAAGCACAGGGCTGGCTCACGAGGAGCTGCCAGCAGTACTTCATGATTTGGGAGACCCGAACCCTCAGCAGCATGTTGTTTGGTGTCTTAAGTTTGTACACCAGCTGACAGCTGCAAAGCCATGTTTTAAGTCGTGAAGTTAGCAGTTTTTATACTGCTTTCATAGGCTGAAGATAAGTGACTGTCAGAATTGCTCAGGGCATGTGCAGGGATGAATTTAGAACTAGCAAAGAGTCGGAGGAAACAGGGTTTTATATTGCTGTAGTATTTTGTGTGTGGACAAATGGATGGAGCTTGAGGGTTCCTCTGACTTTGACATTATGTGTCTTTAAGAGAGGAACCATACGATGGGCCTCTGCTGAACACCTTTTGTTTTAGTCATTCACGTGTGCATTTATCCTTGTTTGTACCTGAAAGTGGAAAGTGAATGGATGCAGATGGAATTAACAAACTTGCTGTGGTTGCCTTGGCCTTAGATTTCGCTTTTCCTATACTTTCAGAGGTGGGTTATGCAGTGGAATATTATCTGGTTTTGTTTTAAGGATGATGCATGCAGACTCAGAACCGGCAGCAAGAATATTTTTGTGGCTTAAAGGCTCTGGACTGGAAGTTTAACTGAGGTGCCAATTTTCCTGAGCTGTGGAAGATCTGATAACCTTCCTTTCTTTGGGTCCTTTTGGGTATTAACTCTGTGCAAAGCCCAGCACAGGTTTGTGTTCTGAGGAGTCCTTATGTAGTTGGAAGCTGCAGACTTTTTTTCTCTTTTCTTGCAGGTCGTAGCTAAGCAGTGAGCAGGATGCCCCCGGGCATTTACTGCCCTATGGAATTCTGGTCCAAGGGGGAAAACCAAAACATCCAGGTGGACTTTCTGCTGCCAACAGGCATATACTTGAACCTCTCTGTGCCCTGCAATGCCAGCTTGGGCACCATCAAACAGGTAACAGCCTTGGTCACTCTCATCTGCAGCTTCCTGCAACAAGGAGTCTGTTCTTGGCAGCGTGTGAGCATCTGTGTTGGGTCTTAGTGCAAGCTGGGTTTCTAATACATTGCTCTGAGAGCTTCTTGTGAGAGCCTCTAAATGCACATCTAGCTGCTGAGGCTGCCAGCAGCAGGGTGCTGATGGTGCTGCCAACGAGTTGGGCTTTATTCACTGGGTACTGAGGTGTGAATTAGTTTCTGAGTGACTGCAGGATGAGTGCAGACATGAGCTGGCAAAACAGGGCTTGGGTAGCATTTTTGATTGCTGCTTCCCCGAGCCAGCCAGTCACCAGCACTGGATCTTTTGTTAGCAGTGCTCTTGTCTATGCAGACTCAAGGAAGAGAGGTTGCTCCAAACAGGCAAACTGAGGTGCTGGACTCAGTGTTCAGCGTGTCAGCCCTGCCACCTCTTGCATCACAGAAACCGAACGGTGAAAACTGAGAAGTGACAGAGGGAATTTAATTTGAGGGATGAAATGCTGTTGCGAAACCATGCGTTAAAGAAATGATACTTTCTTATTTCCCTGGGCAGAAAGTGCGGTTAGGGGAAAGTGAAGGAAAATAGAATGGAGAAGGTTTTTCTCTGCAGCAGCAACCTGGCCTAGATGAGTCACAGATCACAAGGGACAGAAGCACGGTGCCAGATTATTCCCGGTTTTCTCATACTGCAGTTTTCAGGCCCAAAATAAGTAAATAAATAAATAAGAGGCAAGTGGAGCTGATTGGTTCCAGCTGTTAAGTTGCAGTTCTGTGTTTTACTGGGTCAGCCGGAGGCCCATCAGCGTGTTCTTGGGAAGGGAGCAGAGGAGTAGAATATCAGTAGTCGTGTGGAAGCGTCACCCGCTGGGAGCACTCGATGGAGTTCAGAAGGCTTGGGAAAAGCTCTTGGCTCTGTCACAGATTTCACGTTACTGGAGGTGAATTACTTAATCTGCTTTTCCCTCCTGTAATACCTCTGTTTCACAAGGCTCTCAGTCAGCAGGCACCAGGTATTCAGATGGGAGTTATTTAAATACGGAGGTCAAGAGATGTGCTGTGCCTGGAACAAGCACAGAAGAGAAAAGCAAGTCAGCTAAAGGCACTTGCAAATAAATCCGCCCAGATCTATTACCCAAATCTTCAGCAGGAGTTGGAGTTGCCACACTTGGCTGAAAATACTGATTGCAGGTGCAGGGATGTTGAGAGAAGGTGGAGAGTGAGGCTGTGGGACGGCAGGAGGAGGAAGGTGAGGTTCTGGCAGTGCAGCAGAAGTTTCACTGTGCTGTTGCTCTGTCCCAGGTGGTGTGGAAGCACGCTCAGTATGAGCCACTCTACCATATGCTCAGTGATCCTGAGGCCTACGTCTTCACGTGCATCAACCAGACAGCTGAACAGCAGGAGCTGGAGGATGAGCAGCGGCGCCTTTGTGACATCCAGCCCTTCCTGCCCGTCCTGCGGCTCGTGGCTCGAGAAGGTGACAGAGTCAAGAAGCTTATTAACTCCCAAATCAGCCTGCTTATTGGGAAAGGTCAGTTCCCTCATCACAGGTCTCACCAGGAGCGTGGCAGGACTGCTGGCCATGGGTGATAGAAGCCTCTGTCCTAGGTGGCATTATTATTTATGGAATGGCAATGGAATCTTGCTGACGTGGTAGATGAAATAAGCAAGACTATAAGCAAGACTTTAAGCAAGACTTCTCTGTGGTGCTTGTAGTAAGGGAATAGTGTGTATGGAAATGCAAGAAGGGCAGTTTTTCCTTCTGATAGAGAGACATAGCATTGTGTCTTTACTCCACAATAGCAGTTGCTTATTTACTCCCTGCAGTTGTGCAGAGTAAATGAGCAATTACTAGCAGCTTGGCTGACTTGACTCTTTTTTTTTTTTAACAAATATTAAGTATGTGTTTAGGAAGATTGTTTCACGGTCATTTGATTATCACCAGCTTAATCCCCCACGGGGTACAAGTGCTTATTTCATCTTTTTTTCTTAACCTCCACACAGGTTTGCACGAATTTGACTCTGTGCAGGATCCAGAGGTGAATGATTTCCGCACCAAAATGTGCCAATTCTGTGAGGAGAGAGCAGCAAAGCGGCAGCAGCTCAGCTGGGCAGCTTGGATGGAGTACAACTTTCCCTTGCAGCTTGAGCCCATGGCCAAAGGCCTTGGAACTGGACTCTTGCACACACCCACCAAGAACATTTTTGTCAACGTCAAGTTTCAGTCTGGAGGGGTAAAGCACCAATTTTTCTGTGGCATTAACTTGTTTGTGTTTCCCCTCGGGTACCAATTAGCTGGTGACTGAAGTTGCTGTATGCAGACATGATGGAAAGCTTTTTGCTTATGGATCAGAGAGAAACACAGAAGCCAGCTCGGCACAGACTGCTTGCAGGCATTGGTCTGTGTTGCCTATGGGGCCCTGTTCTTGCCTGCTGCCCTTGGTTAATGTGAGTTTTGCATGTTGTGCCTGGGCATGAAGCAGGAACCTCTAGGAGAGAGTAGCTTGAGCACAATGACCCCAGCCATTATCTGCTTTGCTGGTGGAATAGCAGTAGGAAGATTTTATTTTATTTTTGGTAACTACCAGCCACATGTACTAGTGGTCGTGTTTATACTGGACTTAGTTGTTAATTTCCAGCCCTGTGCTTGCACTGCTGAAATGTATTCCTGCCCAGTTTGGCAAACATCCCTACTTATTTGCTTCGGGGGTGGGAGGGGGATAATTTGGCCTTGCTATCCTTCCCTTTATTGTCAGTAACAGGAATCTTGTTACCTCCCAGCTGAGCTATTGCTGCTTCTTGTGCTGATTTCAGCTCTTTGCTGGTATTTGACAGTCCGTGCTGTGTTGTTGGGGTTGTAGGAGAGCTTCACTTTCCAGATCTCCCCAAATGAGTTCCCCATCACATTAATGAGCTATGCTGTCAAGAAGCAGGCTACTGTCTTCCGCCATGAGACAATGGAGAACCCGGAGGACTACACACTGCAGGTGAATGGGAAGTATGAATATCTCTACGGGAACTACCCCCTGTACCAGTTCCAGGTGAGCCTTTTGTCTTGCTTTGATAAAAGAAAGTCTGTTCCCCTTTGGACTCTTTAGCGGGGGGCTGGGTTGAGACATGTCCTCCGACAAGGAGAAATTGCTGTTTACAGGAGTGCAGCACACTGATGGCAAGACCTGGATGCTGCTTAAGGCAATGGATGCTTCTAGCAACCTGACAGGTCCTTATGGTTTTGGATCTAAGCCTGTTGCTGGGTGCCAAGAGTGGCGTAAATGTCTTTATAGCTTATAGTTGTTGTTTTCGTGGTGGTCTAGAGGTTTGCCCTTTGAAAGTTGAACAAGTAATTCCCTACTCTGCATTCCCCTGGCAGGGCAAAGTGTGGCTATGGGTGCTGAATCCCCAGCAGTTTTCCCCAGCGCAGCCTTTTGAGTCAGTTGATGAAATGTCAGGTGCAAGGCACGTCACATTCTTGGCGATGGCAATGTGAGACCAGGGAGATGCTGGTTTAAAAAAAACAAGGGGAAGTACATTAAAATGGAATTTTAGTTGTTGCCGTGTCCTTTCCATAATTTCTTGTCACCTATTTCTGCTTCAGCAGTTCTGATTTGCTTGACTTCTCATGCCTGCCTGACTCTGTTTCATCCATGCTGACTCTCTCCTCTCTTTGCAGTACATTCGTAGCTGCCTGCACCGAGGCTTAACGCCCCACCTGACTATGGTACACTCCTCCACTATTATTGCTATGAGAGATGAGCAGATCAACAGTATTGCCAACCCCCCAAAGATGGCAGTGAAGCCTCCCCCACTCCCTAAGAAAAAGGTAAAAGGGCACAGTGACTGAGCCAGGTCCCTGCTATCTGGTATATTGATGGAGATGCTAATATTGGTCTTGGAATGGCAGCTGGTTCTCCCCTCTGCTCTTGGGGCAGGTTATTCTCCAGGACTTAAGGGCTGAGGGTTCCAGTCAGCATTCCAGATCCCTCCATACCTGCCTTAGTTGTGACAGAATACTGCTCACCTGCAGTGCAGTGCTCTTTTGTGTTGGGGTCAAAAGCATGTGATAGTGATGAGAACTGCTGCTGGTTTGAGAAGCGTTTGCATCTATTTCTAATCAGGACCCTTTCCTCCTTCTAGCCGAACTACGGTTCTCTCTGGTCCTTGGAGCAGTCTTTCTACATTGAGCTAGTGCAAGGCAGCAAGGTCAATGCAGATGAGAGAATGAAGGTAGGTACTGCAGTTCTGGGTTTTCATTTTGTGTTTTGGCTTTTTTGCTTTCCCAGTTGCATCTGTCTTGTTTGTTTGTGGTGAGGAAAGCAGAGGCTGACAGCTTGATCTCACGTGAGCCTCCATTCTGCTTCATTCAGCCCTTGGGTAGTTCCAAAGATGCAGTGCAACAGGAAGGGGAAGGGAACTTGCTAGGCAACAGCTCAGCAGCAGAGAAGTGCATTCCCTTGCAAGAGTTTGTGAGTAACAAACAGCTGCTCCTCTGCAGTGATGCTGCTTGACAGAGGTGTGGAGATGCAGGGAAGTGGAAGAGGGGAAATCCAGCTCTGAGAAGGGAATGATAGGAGATGTTGTGAGTGCTGGAGTTAAGACACAGTGCACAATGCAGGGAGCTTTTCCTGGGGAGTGTCCTGTGATTTGGGTTAGCTAGCAGTGCTGCAAGAGGAGGTCGTGCTGGGGATGAGCCTGGCCTGCCAGCTGTACCATAGTCTGGCAGGCTGCAGGAGCAGTGCAGGTTGCAGACACAAATGTGCTGGCATTGCATTGCAGGCCTGCTGTGACAAACCAGTGTTTGGGTGTTGTGTGCTGCTGATTTTTCTCTTTGGCATATGCACTGGTCAGCTCCTGGTGCCTGCCTGGCTTTTTCAGTGTGACAGCTTCCTGAGGTTTTGCAGCATCTCAGTGGGTGAGGTTTGCTGAATATTTATATTGCTTGGCTTCCCAGGATGAAACATGTATTGTTCTTACCAATTAATTACCCAAGCGTTTTGCAATGCTTTTGCAAGTTTACATAAAGTGAAAAGATAACAGCGCTCTTCCTGAAGTGGAGTAAAACTGGGTATTAAGGGGCTTAGAGTCTTGGTAAATCAGAGGAAAGAAACAGGAGTAGGGCATCCTGTTTTCAGGAGTGGATTCCCTGTCCCATTCTGCTTCTAATCATGGGTCTTTTGCAGACAGGTCAAGTCCCTGTGGATTCATGGTATTCTCTTATTTCTTCTCCCCTCAGCTGGTGGTGCAGGCAGGTCTCTTTCATGGCAATGAGATGCTGTGCAAAACGGTGTCAAGCTCTGAAGTGAACGTGTGCTCAGAGCCGGTGTGGAAGCAGAGGCTGGATTTCGATATTAATATCTGTGATCTTCCTCGTATGGCACGGCTCTGCTTCGCACTCTATGCTGTCATTGAGAAGGCAAAGAAAGCACGATCCACCAAGAAGAAGTCCAAGAAAGCTGTAAGTAAAGCCAACGTGAGGCTGAGCCAGGCTTGCCAGAGCTGCAGGGCACCATTGTGTGCCAAGTGCCCATTGCTTTCAGGTGACTTTGTGAATAAAAGAGCTTACAGAAGTTACACCAGTAACTTCCTCAGCAGGAACAGGAAGCTGAGGAGTGGCTGCCCATAGGGAAGGATGTTTTAACTGTAATTTCTTCTTCAGAAAAGCTATTAAGAAACATACTCAACATCAGAATGTGCACAAAGAGGAATCATTTGTTAGTTTTGCTGTTTTGCTGTTCCACAACTTCCTTGTTTTGCAGTCAAGGTTAAAGCCTTACTCTATGCTACATCCTCTTTTATTAGAAAGGTGTTTTATGCAAGTCTCTGTGGAGCAAGTTAACAGCTAAGAATGGGGAAGAACATGAGTAATGTAAGCACCAGTTGCAGCAGAGCTGTAGGAGAGGTAAAAGCAAAGGGTAGGACTTTGAAGGCTATTGTCCAGGTGCTGCAAACTGCAGATGGGAAGCGTCACATCACTTTGGCAGCTCTTGTGCTGAGCTTCTGAATCAGAGAGGCAGTGATATTTCTCAATTTCTTTGCCTCTATTTCAAAACTTCTAACCCATTAATAACAATAATTCAATATGAGAAGATCTAAGTGGAATGGAATTGCTGGTTTCCCACCTTAAGTAAGCATGGTACCTCTAGCTCTTTGTATGTGAGTTTTCTTTGTGAGCAACAAATGTGTCTGTTCCTCTGTAAATGAGTGTTTCTGCAGCCATAAAAACACAGTTACCATGCTTTAAACAGAGGATTTAGTCACGGTAACTTTTCCAGAGTGCAGAGAAATGAGGGACTGACAAATGCAATCACAGAAGATTTTATGAAGGTTCTCCCAGCTCCTCTTCACAGCTGGCAGCTGAGCCTCATTGTGTTGACATCAGTAAGGCTCTCAGGGTTACAGTGCTTTACTGTCTGGGGAGCAACAGGTGACCCACGTGTCCTATTTGCATGGACCAGTTTCCAGGTTGGAGGCTTCAGACTGGAAACATCTCAAGGCTGAGATCAGGACCAACCTTTTCACCTTGTTATTGTTTTCTTTCTGTGTGTTCATTTGGTTTTTTTTTAAAAAAAAAACAACTGAAGGATAGCAGAACTCCAGTTCCTGCTGGAGGCTTGCCTTGAACAGAATGTCTCATTCATCCACAGGCTGCATTTTTGTGGTCACATAGGAGCAATTCTCAGTTTCGAGGCAGTCAGGAGGAAATTTTACTGCTCTGATTGATAAAACAAGACCGGCTCAGTTAGCTGGGTTGTTAAGAGAAGTAGTTCATGTGTGTTCTGTAATGGGGAAAAATGGTGCCTTCTGATGAGCTTTTATTCTGAAGTCATGGTATTTGCTGGAGCTGAGCTTTGCAGAAGTGGAGCTGATCACACGTTTGGGCTGCAGCTCTGAGTGGGGTGCCCAGATCTCATTCAGAACCATTGGTAACTGGAGGTCCCAGTCAAAGCACGCCCTGATTTTTGTTAGATTATCTTTTTGCTTGCTTTGCTTAAAGTACTCAGGGGTTAAATGCATGCATGTTGTTTGTCTGTGTGGACTGTGCAGAGCAGATAGGTGGGACTAAGTCATTTATTATCACAAAAACAGGCGAGCCTGCAGACTGGCTGGGATGAGTCAGAGCTTTAATGTCACTGCTTGGCTTTCAGTGTTTCTGTAAGTCATGCAGGAGATATTTCTGTCCTTATGATGCTGAATCGTTTCTTTGCTGGACTTTATCCACCCAAAATCTCGCCTTGCTCTTTGGCAGGCTTTGTGCTGTGGTTTGATGTCATACAGAGGCTGTTAGACAAGGTTACTGCTGGCAGTGGGGTGTGTAGCTTTTCCCTGCAGTCTGAAAGCTGATGTCTCAAATAAGATTTTACAGAAGATGATTAGTCTAATCAAATCAACACCAGAGCTTTGTGAGAGGTCGCTTGGAAGTGATTCATTTTGTTTCATTAGAGATGCTGACACAGCTAACTCCATCAAGTTTGGTGCATCCTCGGGGCAAGCCTGATGTATTCTCTAGGATATCTCAGTGGAACAAGATGCCTCCATGTGAATCCCTTCAAATGTTACACAGTCTGTGTGTGTCTCACTGCAATTTGGTCTCGCAATCTCTTTGCAAGTCAGTTTCTGTGCTGATGTTCACTGAAGCCTTGTTTTCTCAGCAGCCAAGTGAAATGCTGGTTTTGCTAAACTGTTATATGAAGCAAACTGTTCCATTTGAGGAACCTGAGCACAGGAAATCTTAGGTCACTTGTGGAATACGTCTGTTTGCTCTGGTGGCAGGGAGATGGTTTCTCTTTCTTGGCCATGTCCCACTCACTTTACTTGCTGGAGTCCTGCACCTCCCAAATGAGGCTGGCTTGTGTGACTGGGTTGGGTTTGGGCTTTTGGGTGTTGGTTTTTCTGTTTGTTTAGTTGGGTGATTTTGGTGGGGTGGTGGTGGTGTTGTTTTGTTTCTTCTTGTTGGGAGGAGGGTGAAAGGGTTGGGTTGGGATTGGCAGCATAAAGTTTGTCATCTGTAGGTAGGCAGTGTTCATTATTGCACAAAAGGAGCCAACATTTTTTCTTCCTTTTATCAGATACACTCTGCATTCTCTGTCTGGTGTTCTGAGGGCATGTTAACTCACTTTCCTGTTTCAAAATTGAGGCTCTTCTCTCTCCCCTCAAGCCTTGAAATACATAAAGGATATAAGATGTGGCTCCCTCAAATATCATTGAGTATACAATTTAAGGCTATATTGGAAACTTAGAGAATCTTCAGCTTGCAAAATATTGGGTGATGAAGTTTCAGACATTTGTAGGGAGTGTTTGGCGCCATTCCCCCACTAGTAACTATCTGAATTTGATGCTATCTAAAACATGTCCTCAGGATGTGTTTTAGAATGTCAAAGGTAGGCAGCAGGCATGGCTGCTTTGGGGCTGAGTTCTTTCCAGCATCTTTTTGAGGGGACGCCTAGACGCTCTAGAATGGAAAGTTACCCACCTGCTGTATTCTGTACAGCAATTTGCAGACTTGGAAGAAATTAAGGAGATAATATAACTTTTTAGTCCTGGCTCTTGTGAGGGATTTGCTTTGCATAAGGATATCTCATATTCTTTTGCTGCTCTTTCCTTCCCTCAGTTTTCCAAATACAGCACTCACATAAGCTTTTCTCTCTGCTTTCCAGGACTGCCCCATTGCCTGGGTGAATGTCATGCTCTTTGATTACAAGGACCAGCTGAAAACAGGGGAGTGCTGCTTGCACATGTGGTCATCCTTCCCAGGTATGTCAGGAGCTGATGCTGCTGTGTGTTTCTGTCTCTAGCTTCTGCCACAAAGATAGGATCTGCCCTGCATTCTCCATTGCTGTCCAGTAGGTTGCAGGAGTGGCATACTGGTGCTGCGTTACCTCTCTGTGCTAGCAGTTCCAGTACCTTTACTGCTCTGTATTATAGCCATGCCAAGGTGAAGGCCTTGTTTTACCTGGCATTGCACACGTGACTTAAGAGGCTGCTGCAGTCCTAAAGATGCCGTGTATACTTCAGTGCTTTGAGAGGTTGGGAAAATGAAGTGACCTGCTCAGGGCCAGGCAGTGACAGAGCTGGAAGCAGTCCTGTGCTCTGCTTTCTGGACCAAAGCTTCAGACAATTAGGATTTATGGATTTATGTACTTTGCTTTTCAGATGAGAAAGGTGAACTTCTGAACCCCATGGGCACAGTGCAGTGCAACCCCAACACAGAAAGTGCAGCAGCCTTACTCATCTGCTTCCCCAACGTTGCATCGCATCCTGTGTATTATCCATCATTTGAGCAGGTAGGGAACACGGATGTTTTCTTGAGAGGCAAACATTAGCTTTTAGTGCACACACTTCTGGGCAATTGTCTGCAGAGACCAGATACAAACAAACTTGATTAATGGATAGAAAATAGAAAAAATGACCTCTTCTGTTAATTAGTAATGGATCTTTGAACGAATAGTTTTGCACGCTCTGAATTCCTGAAGTAAGGCTGCTCTCATCCACGGGCATTTGTTTGCAAATGGATTTAACTGAGCTGCCTTTAAACTGGAGGCAGCACTGGGCTCTATAAAATGGAAGAAAAATAAGGGGAAGATGAGTGAAAGGAGAGAGCTCCCTGCCTTTCAGCACAGAATGATAACATGCTGTGTGGTATGAGAATTTTCCATCTGTCACTACAGCTGGCCACACTTCTGAAGTGGAAGGAGAAATGTACCCATTGCAGGAAAGGACGGAGATCTGCTCTGCCAGGGACTCATCCTTGATGCATGTTCTGGCTTAGCAGCTTTAACAGATTCCTAGCATGCGAGGTTCCTTGGGCAGCAGTTTGGAAAGCACATGCCAGTTGTAGGAACCTGGCGTGGATCCTGTTAACCTGGAGTGTAGTGAGCAAGTGTTCTGTGCAAGGACCATGTGGGTGTGCAGATGTGCTTTTTTGGGGAGGAAGGACCTTGATTCTCATCACTGCTGGGGAAAGGGGCATCACGTGCAGTTGGGTTGTACCTCTGAGTGTACTTCCTACATCAGGGCTGTGAGAGGGGCAATTCCCTGCTTCAGATGTGACGAGTCTCTAATGCAGCATAAATGCCTGAAATGACGGCAGGCTGGAAGTACAAAGGAAATGAGGAGCCTTTCTCAGAACCTATATTTGTGTTCCAGCTGCTGGAGTTGGGGAGGAATGGAGAACAACCCCGCTCTGCACCAGAAGATCCAGAGGAGGTGAGTCTCTGGCATCAGCTTTTCTGCTGTGTGCAGGCTGTGTGCAAGCCTGGCTTCCTAGATTAAGTCATATCTCCATCTTACCCCCAACCAGCATTTTTCACTATACCCCAGCCTTACTGCATCTCTCTGGGCTGAGAGAGGCCTTTGGTTGAGGCTGAGCCCTCTGTATGCTCTTTGCTGTGATTCCCATGAGCAGAAGCTGCAACTGAAGGAAATATTGGAGCGGAGGAGCCACACGGAGCTCTATGAGCATGAGAAAGATCTGGTGTGGAAGATGAGACATGATATCCGGGACCAATATCCACAAGCTTTGGCAAAGCTCCTTACCATCACCAAATGGAACAAGCATGAAGATGTGGCGCAGGTGAGGATGCTGGAGTTGGCAGCAGGGCACATCTTTAATTGATCTTTCTGTGTCTGTACCCCTGTTACCTCTGAAAGGCCAGCTTAACCAGAGATGGTTGGCAGTGCCCCTGTGCAGGTGGGTTTGGCATCACTGGGGCTCAGCAAAATTCTCTCCCAGTTGCTGTTGAACACCTTTGTATGCTGAGTGGCACCCAGTCAAGCTGAGGTTTGGCTGTGTGTGCTGTCTTAGCCCCACTGCTTGTCAGTTAGGGGCAGTGTCCATCTATACTCACTGCCAGAGCTCTAACAGGAACCTCTAAAGGTCCCCTTCCAGTCTACACTGTTATGCTGCAGAACAATGCTGTTTCCAGAGACTGGTATTTGGTGTGATGTCTGCAAACTGATTCTGAGGCATCTGTAGTCTATCTGTAGGATAGTTTCCCACCACACAAAGGATCTGCTCTTCCAGCAGTAGAACTTCTAATCAGTCTTAATTTTTCCTTTTTCTTCTTAATTACAGATGATTTCCCTGCTTCAGAGCTGGCCAGAGTTGCCTGTCCTGAATGCCTTGGAGCTGTTGGATTTTAGCTTCCCTGACCGTTATGTTGGCTCCTTTGCAATCAACTCATTAAAGAAGCTGACGTAAGTGTTCACCACGAGGGATTTGCAGAGCTCCTTTCTGTGTGTGCTCAGGGCTGCGGAGGAGGACCGTGAATGAGGCTGACAGCCTTCTCTGTGCTGTTCTTGTAACTCATTGCAGTACAGATGAGGTTATCTTTTATGTTCCCTTTCTGTCCACAGAGATCATGAATTGTTCCAATATCTGCTGCAGCTTGTCCAGGTGCTCAAGTATGAATCCTACTTAGACTGTGAATTAACCAAGTTCCTGCTGGACAGGGCTCTATCCAACCGTAAGATCGGGCACTTCTTGTTCTGGCACCTCAGGTAAGAGCAGATGTTTTGGGCTATTGCTTAGTAATCAAGTGAGACCAGGGTTTACTGGATTCCTCACTGCACTGTGAAATGAGATAGCAAGCACTTTGGCACACGTGGATGCCAGGGTATTTATCTAAGGGCAGTTGGCTGGCATCTTTCACCAAAGCATTGATGGGATTTTGCTGACATGATTACCAAACCCCAGGAGCTGCTGTTTGCTATCTGAGAGACTGAATAACACAAAATTTTATTGGTTGGTTGATTGGGTTTGGATTGTTTGTTTGTTTTTGTTCTTACCCAGGTGGCAGAGAGGGGAGTTGTGTTGGTTGGATTTAGCTTCTGTTTTTGGAACTCTTAATCTGTATGCCCAGTGTAGAAATTTACTTTGGACATCCCTGGCCACTTGCCAGTTCTGAGCCATAGGCTCAGAATCATCCTTGCTCCTTAAATAATCTTCTCAATTAAGTGGTTAGCATTTTAATCATTGACAAAGATGTCTCACAACTTCAAGCAGTCTTTCTACTGTATCTCTATTTTTTTTTTTCTTTTTTCCCTCTCTATTGCATAGAATCCAAACAGCAGCTAACATCTCCTCCAAATCCCCCCCCCACACACACACATACATACATGCTTTGTGCTGGCATGAATGGGAGTTAGGCACTTGCTGTGGTAGTCAGGTTTGCTTTAACCTCCCTTGTTCCTCTAGGTCAGAAATGCACGTCCCTGCAGTTGCCTTGAGGTTTGGCTTGATCCTGGAAGCATATTGCAGAGGCAGCACCCACCATATGAAGGTTTTGATGAAACAGGTAAGAATTGCTTTTAGCTATAAGGTTGTCATCCCTGTTGCTTGGAGCTGGTTCTCAGCTCTTCGATTTTTCAATTTAATGTCATCAGTAATACAGAAAGAGCCTTGCAGCTGCTATATTGTTTTTGGCATATCCTATTAAGAGCCTGGAGTTCCCCATCATGTGTGACTTTGCTCATCTCTTACTCACCCCCACATGTCCCAAACTGCAAGATTTGTCTAGGATGGCTTGAAATGCTCAGACTGCTGTTATTAGATGAGTTGAATGAATTGCCATTTAGTAGGATATAATTAAAATTCACTGCCTGATTTGGAGCAGTGCATTCTTTCTTTCAGTTGCCATGTGGAGGTAATTTTGTTCATTACTGACTCTAAACCTTCATTTGTCAGGATCACAGTAGCTACTTCAGACACGGGGGACTGCATACGTGAAGTCAGAGCTAAGATGTGCCCACAAACTAATGGTGTGTCTGTTCTTAGGACAGAGTGATGCTTTTGGATAGCCAGAACTCCATAGGGCAGGGGCTATAGAACTCATCCTTATGCTTGTAGCCAATGCACCTCACATCTTCCTCTGGTGCTCGATGCTGTTCATCATTCCTTGTCTTTAGAACTGTAATCATTACCTTGCAATGCATTTGTGCCCAGCAAAATACCCACAACTGATTATGAAGCTTCCCAAAACAGAAAGTTTAAATTTGTTCTGTTGCAATTCATGAAATTGCCACACGTTGAGGAGTAAATAAGAGATACAAGCAATTCCTGCACTTCATGGTGGATTTTTCCAATTCTTGCACTTTCTTCAGGCATTTCCTATTTGTTAACCCTACTCTCTTCATCCATTTCTTTGCAGGGAGAAGCACTCAGCAAGATGAAAGCTCTGAATGAATTTGTTAAATTGAGTTCTCCAAAGGCCACCAAGCCTCAAGCCAAGGAGATGATGCATGTGTGCATGAAGCAGGAAACTTACCTCGAAGCACTTTCCCACCTCCAGTCCCCTCTGAACCCCAGCATTATCCTCACTGAAGTTTGGTAAGTAAGATAGCTGTGTGCTGCAGGTTTTGCTCAGCACTACAGCCAGGTTTCTGGTTACTCTGAGGCCCTCTTTTCTTATGGCAGTCGGTTCTCAGCTCTTAGACTTTCCAATTTAATGTTTTCTCTGTCCATTAGTAATTCTGAAATTGCAGCTTAGATGCAAACATTTCTAATAGGTAGAAACACTGATAGTATTTTTGTTTCCCCTAGTGTGGATCAGTGCACGTTTATGGATTCCAAAATGAAGCCCTTATGGATTGTTTTTAATAACGAAGAAACAGGTGGAGGTGGAGTGGGTATCATTTTTAAAAATGGAGATGGTAAGTCTTTAAGGACGTGCTTTCTAGGCATAATAGTCTCAAGTATTTACTGTGGTGAATGGGCCTAAGTGTGGACTTTACGATGTCATGTCAGTGTGCTGGAGATGTTTGACAGAAAGCTGGAGGTGTAGTAAATTCTGGTCTGCATTTTACTTGCTGTCACCTTCAGTAAAATATTTTAGCATGGTTGTACCAGTTACTGATAACTGGATACTCCCACACACAGTGAAAGGGAACCCGCTGGGAGGGCCTTGTAGGGTGACTGTTGGTACTGCTCGTGTTGTGGCCAGACATCACTTCTAGGGAAGTGCTGCACTGCCTGCTGTGGTAGGAGCTGTGGCAAAGCGAAGCAGCATTTATCTATTAGATAGATCAACTCAGACCGGAGTGGCAGTAACTTTACAATGGTGCTGAGCTATTCAACTGTGGAAACATTCTTTGCTTGCAAGACAGAGGTGGCAAAGGCCCTTCTAGCATCCTGCTGCAAGGGCAGAACAAGTTTAGCATGCAAGAGAACAGGAGGGGAAAATAGGGAGGTACCTAATGAACCTTTCTTCCTTTGTAACGCTGCATAGATCTTCGTCAGGACATGCTGACTCTGCAGATGATCCAGCTGATGGACATCCTGTGGAAGCAGGAGGGTCTGGACCTGAGGTGAGTAATGTGCATACAGATGTCTGGCTGCGATGATAGATCACATGGGTACAGCTGTTTTGCTTGCAAGCTGCTTTTGTCTCTGCCAGGTCCGTCCAGTATTCTGAGATAGTCAGGTTTGAAGGTGCTGAGGGGTAGGAAATGCAGTGAGAAGGGAGGAGGAAGAGTTGGGACATTGGAAATTCCCAACTAAATGCACTGTGAGGGAGAAGGGACGCAGGCAGTTTAAGATAGAACTCTGCAGCTGCTTCCACACAGCATGGTTTAGGGAAGGATGAAGTATGGAGGACAAAACTAAAATGCAGTCCAGCAGCAGAGGCTGTGGAAATTCCCTGGCAGCAAGCAGAAGTTGGTGATGTGTGCTGTTACTGAACTTGAAGTTCATGGCTGGTGCTAGAGCCAACACTCTAGCACAACTGGTGCACAACTGTTAAGTTGGGATATAAGTGGTATTGGGCTTAAATCAGGCTCTTCTTCCTGTTAAGTCATAGGTATGCTGCATTTTTGTCCATGTGAAGAATAAATCAGTGCTTGGTAGATCCTCTGTCTTCTGTGCATCCCAGCTGCCCTTCATGCTTCTGAAGCACAGGAGGTGAAGGTGGTTGGGTGCTCAGCGATGCGGTTCCATCTGCTGGCTCGACACACTGAAGAACTGCAGGATTTTCAGTGGTTCCAATTTGAAGCTCAGGCCAAAAGGACAGTTTTTCTTTCCCAATTTGCTCTTGATATGGCAGACAAGGGAAAGCTGGAAAATCGAGACAGCCCAATTGCAGGCAAGATTTCAGCAGAAGGGTTTCTTTCGTCTCTGCAGGATGACTCCTTATGGCTGCCTCTCCACAGGAGACAAGACTGGGCTGATAGAAGTAGTCATGCATTCTGATACCATCGCTAACATCCAGCTGAACAAGAGCAACATGGCTGCCACTGCGGCCTTCAACAAGGATGCACTGCTAAACTGGCTGAAATCCAAGAACCCAGGGTATGTGGACTTAGCTTTTACTCAGTGCTGCTTTGCTACTTCCTTCCAGAGAGAGACAAGCTTCTGCTTTCCTCAATGTTTTCCTTCAGTTATGCATGTTTCCAACCTGTCCTGTGAGATCTCTGGCAGCTCTGCAGCCTAGCAGAGTAAGAGGGATCGAGTTAACACTGAGCTAGTTTATTCAAGATTGGGGACAGAATTATTACCCTGACCTCTCCAATTATGGATAGTTTTTACTCCAACTGCTGCTTGTGTAGCATGGGTGGCTGTACTGACTGGAAAATGCTACAGAAAGTGATTCAGGCATGAATTCTCTTACCTTCTGCAGGTCTGAAGGGTGAGAGAAATCCTTAAAAACAGCTTTCCCAGCTGTGTAGCACTGGTGTTCAAAGTAAAATTCCCTTTTCGTCTTTTTTTCTTCAGTGATGCTTTAGAACAAGCTATAGAGGAGTTCACTCTTTCCTGTGCTGGGTACTGCGTGGCAACGTACGTGCTGGGGATCGGTGACCGGCACAGCGATAACATCATGATCCGGGAAACTGGCCAGGTATGGGGCTTGAGTGCTGCTGTTGAAGTACTGGAAGAGGTGCATGAATGCTGCTTAGCAATGGTTGGAAATATCCCAGTGCAATTCTACTGCTAAGGGATGCAGCTTCCAGCAGAGGCGGACTGGACAAATATTCTCAATAGCTTCCATCACGGAGAGGGTAAATATAGCTTCAGAATTTGAATGTTCTTCTCTAAGAAAGAGTCACTGCTACCCAACTGTCAACGTAATCTCTTGTCTGGCTGCTGTTAATTTTGAAATTACAGCCTCAGACCTAGAATCATTTGCAGATACAAACCTGAGCACTATACTTAGCAGGCTGAAGACTTACTTGGCTTCAGCAGATTGCTTGTAGTTGCAAGGTAAGAGCTTCAGTTACTTGTCCAAGATTTTTCTAGCTTTCCTAGGAAAAAGACTTCTAGAAATGATTGCATGTGATCAGTATGGTTATAATTTCACACTGATACTGCAAGGACTGCAGAGCCACTGTGCCATTCACTAACAAGACAGTAACCTCCCTTCCTGGGCTATGGTTAGCAGCAGCCCTTATCGAGGATTGCCTCTTCTGACAATATAAAAAACAATGAAGGAGAAGAAGCCTCTGCAGCTTTCTTCAGAGCAGGGATGCTCAGTGAGTTGTCCACCTGGGGGAGCTGATGCTCTGCTGTATGCAGGCTTGGGGTTTGTATACGTTTTGGGTTTTACAGCAGCTCTGCAAAAGGTACGTGATTGTGCTGTGACCTTCCTTCCCATTGTACTGGTGATGAGAATGCTTCACTTGCTTTATAGTTGTTTGTTTGGTTTTTTTTGGGGGGAAACTGTACCTGAAGAAGTAACATTTGGTAGCAACTTCAAAACAGATCTTATTTTCACGTGCTGTCTGGGACTCCAGACTGCACTGTTAGGATAAGACAGCATAAAAAAAAAAAACATTTTTTTTCAGCCAGGTACCTCTCTAATTACACTAGAAAATATTTTGGCAAGTAAACATTGCCTCTTCTCCCAGCGGAGTGCCAGGGGACAGATCAGTTTTCTCCCTCCCAAAATGCTATGGTCCCTATCTTTTGAATACACTAAGGGGAGGAGCAGTGCTATTCTGAAAACAATTTTTTCTTCCTTTTTTCCAGCTGTTCCATATTGATTTCGGTCACTTTTTGGGGAACTTCAAGACCAAATTTGGTATTAATAGAGAACGAGTTCCTTTCATCTTAACCTATGATTTTGTGCACGTCATCCAGCAAGGAAAAACAAACAACAGTGAGAAGTTTGAAAGGTAAGGGTTAGCAGTTTAATTTGACGTAAGATTTTTAAGGTCTGAATACTCTGAAGTTACTTCCACTATTTCCACCATTAAAGCTACCTACAAAGCAGCATAACAACAATTCTGGAATACAGAAGTTTGTATAAAATGAACGTAAAGTGCTCATTACTCATTTTGGAAGCATTTGGGATGTTACACTCTTGCTTGTGGTAACAAAACCCTTCTGTAGTCTTCTGTAATTCTGTATACTGTTGCCTTCTGATGCTCAGTATTTGGGGTACAGAAGGCTTTTAAAGGGACTGATGATGTGAGGAGTCCAACTCCTTATATTGGAGTTGTCAGAACTCATTATGCAGCAGAAAGCCAAGAATGCAGCACTCGTGTCTGTGCCTGGTGTAGTGGTCCCTTGGCCACATTCTTGGAACTATAGCCACTATAGTGGCTGTGGAGATGTCTAGACTCAACAGTCCAATGCAGCATGCATTCCATTAGCTCTTGTTAAATGGAATAGCTGAATAACTTAAAAACATTACTTAATCCATTTCAATATACATAAAGCAAAACAAATAAATGATTGTGTTTTGGAGCAAGTGAAAAGGCCTCACTATTTTATAAAGCAAGGCCATTAGTCAGTGTTGCAGCCTTCAGTTGTTTGCCTCATCTTCCTTTCTGAACAGATTCAGGGGTTATTGTGAAAAGGCCTACATGATTCTGAGGCGCCATGGTCCTCTCTTCCTGCACCTGTTTGCACTGATGAAAGCTGCTGGCCTGCCAGAGCTCAGCTGCTCCAAGGACATTCAGTACCTGAAGGTAAGAAAAGCAGAACCCGGGTGTGGCTGAAACTTTTAATACCTGGTTGTGTAGCTCAGGGAGAAGAAGGTGGAAAGCTCTTCAAAGCACCTGAACAGCAAAAAATGAGTAAATGTCCATGGCTCCTGTGTAGGATGTCAGAAATGGCAGGTACTGGTGCTCAGGGAAGAAATCCATCAGATTCTTCATTGCAGAGGTAAAAAGCATGTTGTAGAACCAGCTTGCAGGGAAGGATGCAGCTCTTTGGGCAGTGATTCCTTTTTCCAGCTTGCCTCCTTAAATTTAACAACCTAGCTCTTCCATCTGAAAGAGAGTAGCTTTGAACAAGAGCACCAAGAAACCTAATGCTTCCTTACTCCTAAATTACAGGTAGGACACGTGTATTGCAATGAAAAATCTTGTGCAACTTCGGTAACTGTTTAAAACAACCACTGGCTATTTGTCTCCCATTTAGTGCTCTTTTCAATACATAATTTTTTAAGTAAACATTTTGGTAGTTTAGCAGTTAATTGTTTGGTTGTACTTCAAGTGAGGCTACACTGAATTCTGCCTCTTACCCTCAGGATTCCCTAGCTCTTGGTAAAACGGATGAAGAGGCACTGAAACACTTCAGACTCAAGTTTAATGAAGCCCTGCGAGAGAGCTGGAAAACCAAAGTGAACTGGCTGGCACACAATGTATCCAAAGATAACAGACAGTAGAGGGATGGAGTCAGCCTGCACACTTGCTCCAAGAGAATGTACAACCACTTGCACTGAATCCAACGATTGTAGACTGGTTTTAGAAGACTGATGAATGTTGCCGTGTTTAAGATCCCTCACCTTTGGTCCCAGAGATCACATCTTTCTGCCTAACTGAAAGTTGTTGGACTGTCATCAGCCACCTCATCATGCCTGCACCAGACCTTTGTGTGGCAAGGGAGAGGCACAAGGCAATAAAATTACTGCAAACAGTGAAAGGTAGGTAGATGGACCACATCCTTAACAACTCGTTAAGTTTCAAATACATCTTCTAATGGAAGAGTTCAGGCAGATTCAATATACATTGAAGTCAGTCAGTGTGCTAACATGTCTATTTTTATTTTCTTGATAATTCAGCCAAACACTGAACAGCTACTCTGCTGTGGCTCTTATAGCACAGCTGTTGTAGGCCTCTACCATTACAGCTCAGGCTTTAACTCACTACGTCCTACCCTGTTTCAGCGTACACCAAGGTAGGTCAGCCTAAATCTCCTCCGAAACCAGCTTGTACAAACTTTTTATTCTGCACTGTGACAGAATTAAAAAGTAAATCCATACTATCACATTACTGTCTCTCTGCTGCAGAGGCCAGAGAGCTCCGAGATGCTGCCTAAAATCTCACGCCTCGAGAAGAGGTGCTTGGGTTGGCCTAAACTTGAGTTAGGTACGTTTGTTTGCTTACTTAAAGCAGACCTTAGGTTAAACTCAGCTAGCTTCTTGTTTTCTGCATTTGTTCTGTTTTTAAGCCTGAAAACATGAAAATTGCATTGTGCCAATGGACATGTGCCACAGGTTGCTGAATGTACCTCCTGGTGGGGTGTTACAGCTCCTTTGCCACCTGGTTTCCCTCTAAAGCATACATGGAGGGCATTGGCCTGCACTTATGTACTTACTGGGATACAACACTGGGTTACAGTGTCAGATGGGACACATGGTACCACTCTGTGCTTAAGTTATTTGGCCAGTCTGCTTTCCTGTGTAAAGATAGAGGAGTGCCAGATGAGTGGGTTTAGTACTGAAAAATTGCATCTCAGTTCATCTGCAAAGTTTGTTCCCTGCTCTCTTCAGCCATATGCTCTCAGCTGAGGCTCTGTTTGTTATTACAGCTGGGGTGCAAAGCCTGTGAGTGGGGAGGTCAGCCAAAGAACAAGGTGCAGTCATCTGTGCTGGTACCTACACTGGACAAACTGTTCCAGCCTTCTGCTGTTGCCACAGCTGCCTTTGTCTCTTTACCAAGGAAATTTGTCCCCTGTCCCACAAGGTGCTGTTAATCACGTATTTCTACTCTTGTGTTGTATTTTTGTCTCCAGCTAATGTCCTTACCTGGTGGGCAGTTCTGAGCACTGGTGTTCCACAGGGACAGATGAACAGGAGCCACTGCTGTCCCTCAGTGCCTCCCATGAGCAAATTGAGGTGCATGAAACAGGCTGCAGCCTATGGGTCGTGCTGGAAGATAAGCAGTCTGGTTAGTATCTGCTTCCTTTAGCAGTTCCTTGGGGTGCTTCTCTTCCATTCCCTGTGTTCTGCACACCATCATGTTCCTCAAGAGGTGCTACCATTTCTGTCTTTTAAAGAATGACTGTCAGATTTTCCCGACATCCCTGAAGTTGAATTAGCTCTTTGAGTTGTATGCCCTGACCTGGGTTGAACAATGGTTAATTTACAGGACTCATGTAGATAAAAAGAAACAAAGGCACTTCCTATCCTTTTTTCCAAGCAACAAGAAACATGTCAAATGATGGACTACTCTCATGTAAATTTAAGCTTTCATGCCTCGTTTGAGTTAATTTTGCCAAACATTTCCTCAAAAAGAGCTAGTTTAGGGCAGATGCTGAACGTGCCTATTTTTTCCCAGTACATCTTCCCTGTTATGGGGTAAATTTCATTTGTTTTTGCAACCAGGACTTAAGAATAACTCATTCTTGACTTTTAGCTCTTTTTACTGCATTAAAATGAGGTGCCCTGTAATTCAGAGAAAACAAATGAAAAAACACAGCATCCTTGTACTGCAGGGTAAGCCCAGTGCTTTTTAAAAGCATGAGTTCAAATAGCTGTGCAGCTGATGAAGAACAAATCTAAGTTAACACTGCCTCAAAGCAACTCCTACCTCTGTAGAAAGTAACAGTAGATATTATTATGTCAGTGAATGGAGCAACACTGCATAATTACTTTCTCTGATATGTTTGTTTCCTATGTCTATGCTGTAATTCACGGTTTCCTTAAATTGAACAGCAGTCAGTGATCTCATGTTTCAAACCCATATTTGTAATTACAATTGCAAATCATAAATTTGTTCATACAAATTATGAGAGTAATCCACAGTGTTCTTTTAGCCAAGGTTTTAAATATCATAAAGATAACTTATTTGCAGTGCCAGTTGATGCCAACTACTCTAATTCTTCAGTGCTTTTTTTATTTTGCTAAGACTCAGAGTCGTGGAGACTGAGCATTCTGCACTCCATCTTATTGGAATAATACAGAAAACATGCCACAGTCACAGAATACAGTAAGGTAGGAAGAGATCCTAATTAAGGACTACATAGGAAATGCAAAAGCAATCTTTCAGTTGCTTTGCTATTAGAAAAAAATACTGTAGAATTTAGAGCTCTTTGAATACTAATCTGACAGTGAGAAAACAATACTGCACACACTTAAGTTACTGCTTCCTCAGTAGGGAGGAAAAATTATAAAACCACAACACGCACTGTGCTCCCTCCTTTGGGGTGGTGTGCCTGGACTCTGCTTGCAGAGGTGCCTGTGGCCACACAACTTCGCTGTATCTTTAGGTAAATATTGCTGTTTCCTTATTAAATTAACTCATTGGTGCAGACAGCATGCAGAAATATCAGGCCACAAGCAAGCTGAGAGGCAGTGCAACCACAGTAATCTTATGGGAGGGAAGAAACATGCTACAAAACTGTAAATATAAACACAATTATCTTACATTGCTATAAGCAGGGAAGCCAGGATCCCGTGTCAGCTGCAGCAAGGCAGTCTTACCTAGCAGGCTCCTTGGGTGTGCTCAGGTACTTTGATCACAGGCTCACAGCAGTTCCTACCTGCTTACAGAAGTACAAAGCAGCAGTGGCTCCTGTCATCTGTCCTTCCATTGTGAAAGTGCAATAAAACAAAGCTGTTATCAGCATCAACTACTAGAGCTGAGCCATTCCAAAGGCGTCTCAATTCAGCACAGTTTTACAGCTAGGTTACGCCATCAACAAAGCTGACTTTCCTACAAGCAGTAAAAATGTTGATGAGTCATTGAGTGGATTTCCTCCCTTGTACACCCCTGGGACAGCATCTTGACTGGAGCTCTGATGGCTGCACTGGGCAGCAAAGAGCTGCTGTCTCCAGCTTTACACAACAGCTCACCTGATGCTTTCCAGAGAGTTGAACTGTACTAAAGATGAAAACTTAAATCATTTTCAAAGATATTGTGTTTCACTGTAAATAAGTATCTTCTGCTTTATAAATATGCTCCGTGATACTCCTTTCTATTTATTTAGAGATGTTTTTTGTGATTTTAACTCTGTATAAACTGATTGTTCTTATTTTGTTGCCTTTGAAAAAGAAAAGTATTTTTTTAAGGAAACCATGGTTCTGTAACAAGAGTGTGTTCATATGTTTAACAACTTTTTGGTTGCTTTAGGTACGTGTTTTGTAAATAAATAAAAAAGGATTAAATTGCACACCAATGGATGCCCCATTGCTCCTACACACAACAGATCAACAAAAATAAAACCAAACTCTACTTCTAGGCCAACAAATACACAGTTAGGGTGATTTGACTCAACTCTATTTCATTCAGGAAGAAATAAATGCAAGCAACCTTTAGAACCAGAAATTTATTGTAGCTTATAGACTTTCCAAACTGACCTTTTACCAATATATGCATCTGAAGAGTTATACCCACAGTGGCTACTAACTGCATCAGGACGTTCACAACCTCTCAGTATTACCATTAACTCATGATCAGCTTTAGTCTAAAATACAGCAGCTACAGTGACAGTATATGGAAGGATAAGTCTTCTACACATTAACACAAGACAACTGTCAGACATAAGTTAAAAGTTTCCCAGTTAACTTAAAACTAGCAGTTATATTACCACGTAAGTAGTCAAAACCATTTCCCCATTTTAGAAATCTAAAATTTTACATTAAAAAAAAAAAAACCAACAACACAAAAAAAAGAAAACAGTAAGCTCATTGGGTGGGTTCTCCCTCCTGCTTCCAGGTCCATCTAGTATTGTAAAAGGCACTCCACAGAGTCAAATCTGTTACCCCCAGGTAAAACCCACCATTAGATCCCATTACATCCATCAGGAGGCAAGATGCGTGCTAGAGAAGAGGTCTGCTCTGAAAATCAAAACTATAAACATCTGGACCAATCTTTATCTTTTTGAGTTACGACCCTTTTCCTCCCACTCCTTTCCCACCGTTTGGCTTGCTCCTCTAGCAGGCTTATCCAGTGCAACGTTTCCCTGCTGGGTGCTGCTGGCCACTAAGGAGCCTGCTGTGACACGGGCTGTGTGCACCTGGAACATGGGCAGATTGCAAACAAAAAAATGGAACTTTGCTTACCGTGCTGAGGAGTGGAGTCCTAGTTTCCTGTCACAAGCAAAACAAGTTACTCTTTAATCCACCTCCAAACATAAAAAAAAAAAAACAAATCAAGTAAGAAGGTATTCATTATTCGAGGCTCTGCATAGGACAAATAAAGTTAAATGGACAAGTCCTGCCTTTCAAAAAACTAGCACTCTGCACCATGGGGTCATAACTCACTTTTCGTACCTTTCAGTCATTTTAAAAAAAGTCCTTTGCAATTCCAAGTTCAAACTTTCATCAGAAACAATCAAAATCAGCCATGACTTGGAATAGTATTAATGTGATTCCCAAGGTTTTCTGGTTGGATAATTTATTCTACAGTTTCACCAGCAGGAAAACACAATTACTAAGTGTAAACAAAGGCTTAATACACCAACAGTCCAAGTTACTGTACAAGGAGCTACAGGGAATGAGCAGGAGTGCGTTAATAGAAATGGTATCAGCTATGCCCCAAACCCTCCCATTCCCAAATGAGAAAAACTGAACAGTCAAAAAAAAAACCCCCTCAATACCTATCTATGTAGACTGGTAGCCAAGGTGTGCAGGTACACAGGTCGCAGGCTTTCCAGCTTCAATCACCAGTGGGACAACCAACCAACTAAGCAAAATGCACTCTACCAGCAACGCCAGCAGACCACTGCTGCACCACAGGCAGCCTTGCTGTAAGCAGGTGCTGTGACAGCACACCACAGCCTATTTTGCCCACCATCCATGTAGTGTTCTTCTCCCAATAACTTAAACAGTGCTTATGCTAAAACTTCACTGGAAAATTTTTTAAAAAATGACAAAACAACAAGAAAACGAACCAACAAACCGTTAGGCAGGGCAGTTGAACCTCTGCAGAAGTTCCTAAAAGCCTTTACAGTTTCTCATAAGCTTGTCTGTTCCCTCTGCAAATATAAAGGAAACTGGAGACTAAAAACAAAAATAAGAAAAACCAGAGTGGGGCATGAATGAACATGGCAGTCAAGGCCAAGGACACTGCATTACTGACACATCTACACTAGATAACTGTGCCCGTGCTCCTGCTGCAGCAGTATGAGACTTGTATTATTTCATGCTTCATGATTTTTTACTTTAGCATGTTTTAAACCCCAATCCCTGTTTTCACTACCACAAATGACATAATTACATAATTCCAATATATTTACAAAATATTAAAAAGTCTGTTAATCTTCTACATATTAACCTCATTCTGCCACTTTACACATGCACTAACTTGGGAAAAAAAATTAAAAGAAATCAACAGGCTGAAATGAGCAGCTTTACCCTTTGTCAACAAGCAATCTTTGCATCTTTCAGAAGGACAAAAAGGAACAAAGCTGGAATTGTTTCACAGAGCAAAATAAAAAGTTCAGAAATTCATGTGCAATGGCTACAGATCTGCAGTCACTTAGCTGAGATGACATGACGAAAAAGTGCAGGGCGGTTCCTCACATAGTGTAAAAAAATCCAGTCACTGAGGCATGGCTGAGGGAAAAGAGGTGCTAACTACAACTCTAGAAACAGCATCAGGAACTAGCTGACAGAACACAAACACTGGGGTGTGTGTTGGTTGAATCTACTGGCCAGAATGATTTTTTTTTTTTTAAACACCATGAATCCTTGGGAACAATGGAGTGCATTACAGTGGAGTCTTCTAGAGCAGAAACAAAGACAAAGGGAACAGCTAGAATCAATAACTGAGGGTAGAGTCATCCCATTCCAGCTGTTGCTGTCTGTTAACATTCTGTTGGTCCTCCTCCTGCTCGCCTTCTTCTTCCTCGCTGCTTTCAGACTCTGCACTAGTGATGTCATCCTCTTCTCCATCTTCGCTTTCCTCTTCCTCTTCCTCCTCCTCTTCTTCACTGCTGTGCTGATCTTCATAAGTCTGTTAAGACAGAAATCAGCTGCTTTTACCATTCTGGCCAAAAGTCCTTTAATTCTTTTGAATCTGAGCACAAGGTACTCTTACTGAAAAAGAGCTATTAATTTCTTATTGCTTGAAAAGTTCAGCAGTAATTAGGCAACTAGAAAATAAAAAGTTAAATAAGCTCATTAAAATAGTTCTGGTTCTGCACCATTCCTATCAATCCTGTCACACTAAGCAAACTCACTCAAGTACAAACCAGTACTTCAAATTCTACCAGAAAAGGATCTTTCAGTATGTTACATGAGTAACATTAAGGTTGCACATTTTTCTTGTGATTTTCTAAAAATTCAGATGTCAACCACAGCAGACAGATACATCAATATCATAAATACAGATGGTGTTTCAGCACTTCTGTACTTTGGGAAAAAAGCTGATGGTGATGAAGGCAGCATACAGCACTGAAAGATCAGTGTTAGACACTGAGCTGTAACACCTGATGCTGGAGTCCAGTGATTCCTGCCCCACTCTGTATCACAAAGCTACAAGCCATGCCCCAAACATAACTGCTCCTGTTATTTGTCACTTTGGAGCATCAATTAAAAACTCAAAGTGCTAACGTCTGTTCTGTCTGTGTTCTATGGTTGCTTTTGCTCTACTCTCTGTCCATGTACATTCATACCAGTTAAAACTGGAAGAGGGCATTTTTTGTGAACTTTTTTTTTTTTTTGCTGAGACACCAGTCTTACTTCCATAGGATTCACAGTGATGGTCAATGCAGAGTCATCCCAGTCCATCTCATTTTCCTTCCCAGTGTCCTGGTCACGCATTGTTCGCTGATGTGCAGCTCGGATTCTGAACACTCCCAGAATAATCATAAAAACCAGGAAACTCACACAAACTACAATCACAACAGTGGCTGTACTTGGGACAACTGCAACAACAGAAAAGGAGTTTCTTAGACTATATTGATACGCAATTTTTACATAATGATCATAATTAATTCTGTGTTCCCATCACCTACAAGAGGGAAATGGCATTATGAAAATATTATAGGTAGCTTCACAGAGGCAGTCTGCATAAGGAAAAGCCTGTAGAACTCACTGAGGGAATAACTGCAATTCTTTCCTTGTCTATTTGTAAGAAATAACAACCCTGTTCCTCACTGTTCTTTATTTAGGTCTTATAGACTCTGTTAAGAACAGTACACCTCCTGTTTTCCAACGTGTGCACCAGCAGAGCTGCCCTCCTAGCAGGGAGATATTTTGTAGATCTCTAGCAAGCTGCTGCTCCTTGTTTGGGCAACAGCAGAAAAGGATCAAGAAGCTGCTTAAACTTATTAGTCTAACACATTGATTTAACTCTGGAGGGGACAAAAAAACCTCTTTGCAACAAGAAGCCTCCGCATCAGTTTAACACCAGAAAAAAAAAAAATCAGCAGAACTTCTGTGACTGAGAATTCTTACCTGAAAATGGATGAGGGTTAGCTAGGTTGTGACCAGACAGATCAACAAATGTGTGGTGCACCGGATGTACAAACTGTGGTTGTGCAGCTATGTGATTAGCATGTTCAATGGGGTTAGCTGTGTGGATAACATTCACCTGAGTACAAAAGGAAACAGTTAAATTCCAGAAATACAAGTAGACCTTTCAAAAGAAAAAAAAAAAGGGGGGGGGAAAAGAAAGATTTCTCAATTTGCCTGAGTAATCATCTCATTCTCAATGACCACAGCTATGATTTGTCACAGAGAACAAGCATTCCAACCAGTAGTTCCTCCTATGTTAGCTCCATGTCATATAATCCTGCAGTTCTGAGCTTTCAACTCTGTTTTAGTTGGTCTGGCAAAGTTTTTGCAGAGACATCAGTATTTGAGAATAACCCAGGTAAAGCCAGCTCATTATCCAATTCAGTAGCCAGCCATTTTAATTCTGAAATAACAGTATATAAAGATGTATGATACATTAATTACACTCTCTTCCTTCCCATCTTTTCTTATTCTGTTGCTTATCTTCAGCTAACAGCAAAGAGAAAATCTGTATTACAGACCAAGGATTAAGGTAAAACTTCTCTCTGCAGTTTAAGCCATGCTTAGCATAGCTGGCTTTTGACAAGTACAAACTCAATGTCACACAGCATATTTCATGTTTCCTTGCCAAACACGCAGAGCTAAATATATCTCTGCTCTGGGAGACTGTTGTGATACAGGGTACCTGACCAGCTGCACTACAGGAAGAGAGCAA